AAGCAAGGCAAGTTACTGTTTGTATGGAATTGGCTTAGGCCATATAAAATAAATTCCTTGATTCTCATCACCGCCAGACTGCATTTTAAGAGCCGCGTGAAATTTTTTTATATTTTGTTATACAATATAAATGAACCGCCCGACAAAATATTTCAAGACAGTTAAGTTTTTTATATTTAAAATTGGGTTTTTAGTGCCATTTTAAACTGCCAATTTCAAACAAATCGAACCTTTCGAAAGAAATTTCATTACATTTTAACGGAACTTCGCATCCAGTTCAAGGGTTGAGTCATTGTTCGTGGAGAAATATGTTCATTTTGGTTTGTGACACTTCACTTTGGAAATCACAGAAATATTAAATGTTAGGAATTATTTTTTTATTTATTGATGATAAATTATATAAATATAAAATATAAACCTCCCGGCTCTTCAACGTTTTCAAAGTCTAGTGATGAGAATCAAGAAATTTATTTTATGTGGCCTTATATAGCATTTGCTAAGCAAATTCCATATAAACAGAAACTTAGCATTAAATTTGTGCAAAACACAAAGTAGCTTAAAAGATTTAAAATCATTACATACAAAATATAATGATAATACAAGAATTAATGCCAAGAAATTCAGGAAAGCTGATATCTAATGATTCATATTTATTTGTAAGCTATTATTTTAAATGCAAGACAAATTTCTACCTTTCCTGGGTAAAGTGTTTACATGGATGGTAAAATAAATCATTTCACCTGGGCAAGATTTTGTGTCTTTCTGCCAGAACTTGCCAAGGTGAGTTGCCAGGTTGTATCATATAAACTCACCTTGCCGGGTAACTTGCCTCCATTTAAACAGGCCCCTTATATAGACATTCTCATATGAACAACCCCTATAAACATGAGTACTGTGGTGAATATGATATTTGTGATGTTACTCTGAGTGTGTATCCACACCGGGCAAGCTTGAAAAATATGCCTGGCCACAGTGGGAATCGAACCTACGACCTTTGGAATACTAGCCCAATGCTCTGCCAACTGAGCTACGCAGTCAGGTCGGTTCGAGTATGTGATATTTCGGAACTGAGTCTAGTTCCGTCAACATCAATGTAATCTAATCAGGATTTTTCTGTGTTGGTGTTGTGTACTCAGGTGAATATGATATTTGTGATGTTACTCGGAGTGTATATCCAGACCAGGCAAGCTTGAAAAAATGCCTCGCCACGGTGGGAATCGAACCTACTAGCCCAATGTTTTGCCAACTGAGCTACGCGGTCAGGTCGGTTCGAGTATGTGATATTTCGGAACTGAGTCCAGTTCCTTCAACACCAATGTAATCTAATAACCATGATTTTTTTGGGCTAATATTCGAAAGGTCGTAGGTTCGATTCTCACTGTAGCCAGGCATATTTTTCAAGCATGCCCAGTGTGGATACACACTCAGAGTAACATCACAAATACCTGTATCATATTCACCTGAATACACAACACCAACACACAAAAAAATCATGATTATTAGATTACATTGATGTCGAAGAAAGTAGAGTCAGTTCCGAAATATCACATACTCGAACCAATCTGACCGCGTAGCTCAGTTGGCAGAGCATTGGGCTAGTAATTTCCAAAGGTCGTAGGTTCGATTCCCACCCTTGCCAGGCATATTTTTGCCCAGTGTGGATACACACTCAGAGTAACATCATAAATATCAACCCCTATAAATTTTAATGTAAAATTATAAGTTTGATACCGGCAATTAAACACTATGAACTATCGAGTTTATACTTGAATCAGCATATATCAATGGTCGACACGAAATCAGATTTAATTAAACAGGAATACTGCACACTATTTGGTGTCGTTTTACATATTTTGAATACATGTGCATATACATACAGCATGCTAGAATATCGTCTTGAATATATGCACGTTCAAACCGCATGTTGTTTGTATAATTGAGATTTTAGCATTAACTGACAATAATCGGTATTTATTACCCGGCCATTTTTGTGTTTCGTTGAGAAAATATGTACGAGCAATGAGAATTGCCGAGTCGAGACTTGAGATGTATAACCAACGACGGGAAATCGACTGGTTGTTGCAAAACACTGGGCTTTCTAATACACAAAATATGAACAAAAAACATTACCTTGCCGTATCTGACCACATTCAATGCCTTCAGAAGTAATTTGGCCAAGTAAAGATGCGTTTAGGTGTCCAAAATTAACATTTTCAACGACCATAATTTACACTATAAGCTCTTTGTTCCAAAGTCAAACCGCCGAAGGATCAAAGTTCAAATTGCTGCGTCTTTACCCAGAGTCCTCTTATTCCGTGCTACGTCATGTAATGTACACTATAGTGGATCGATACTATATGACAATGAAAGAGAGACTCGGAGCAAGTCTAGAGTCCTTTAAGCTCTGGCTTATCCGCTCGCGAGATAACTATTATGGTTTTACTTTTTATGAAAATGCTGAGATCCATGTGATTGCGATTCATACTACAATATGGAGTCTGAATAACAACAGAGACACCTGATCAGTTGAAATTATTGCATGTGTGTATAAAAAATTTGATATAGAAACTATAACGATTAAAAATCGTAATATGCATGTGCATGCATGGTGCAATTTAATAATTTAATTCAAGAATATTGCAAAAACAACTTCCTTATTTTGAGAAAGATAATCTTACATTGAGGAAATTAATCATTCCATCAATCAAGAAACGGTTAATTAATGTATCAGTATATTTTCAAGAGAAAACGTCTTATGAGTTATGTTGAAAAACGAGGTTCGTTTTAATAAAGCATTCATGCAGTTAGAGGAAATAACTTATCATTTTAAGAAAACAGTTATATGTGGAATTAACTATATTATATACGAAGTATTTTTCTTCAGAAATAATTTTCTTATTTTAAGAAAACCGGATTATCTTAAATCAAGAAATATATTTTTAAGAAATAATTTTCTCATTTTAAGAAAACAGTTATCTTAAATCAAGAAGTAATTTCTCTTGAGAAATAATTTTCTCATTTTAGGAAAACAGTTTTCTTAAATTAAGAATAATTTTTTTCTTAAGAAATGATTTTCTCATTTTAAGAAAACATTTTCTTAAATTAAGAAAATAATTTTTCTTAAGAAATAAGTTTCTCATTTTAAGAAAATATTTTCTTAAATTAAGAAAATAATTTTTCTTAAGAAATTGATTTTTTGCTGTGTATTCAAAACAGTAAAAGTCGCTTGATAGTTAGGCTATAAATGATAAAACTAGCGTTCAGATTTTATGCTGCTCGAAATCTGAACTATATACAAGGGATATTTATTTAATTTTGTTATCCGTGCCAAATTTCTAGGGAACAGGATAACGCGTTGACTGCGAAATTGATTTGAATTTTCGACATGGCGTTCTCAGTTATAGGCCAAAATAGTTTCCAACTATTTTTCGATGTTATCAATTTCCTGCGGATAATTCAATAAATTAAATAAAATATCCAAAATCACACTTCAAGTTAAAAGTGACAAATGCGATGGGAAGAGATATGCTTTTAGAGAAAGCCATTTTGATCCCCGTAGCAAATAATCCATGTGGATCATTATTACATGCACCCTCCGCACACAGTGCACGCACAAACACACTTTTCGCTAAGATTGTGTGTAAAAAAACGTTGATTGGTAAAATAAGGGGAAAAGTTTCATATAGTGTGCTTGTCGAGCACTTAGATGTGTTAATTGCAATTTTAGTTGATTTTTACAATTATTACTTTACAGTATAGAATTTTTATTGGATTGTTTTACAATAGGATCCAAAAAAATCAACTTTGATTTTCCGACTTCGACAGATCATGAAAAAAGGGCAACGGTGTCAGACGGAATTTTATCGTTAAAACTGAGTGTCACCCAAATGCCCCCCACTCCATTTTAAAAGGACCACTATAAAGCCAGTGCTTTTTGCAATTTTGGACAATTTGTTATTTTTTATCTGAAATTCCGGCTGCAAACTGACAGAGCGGAGACATTATTGCTCAAAAAGGAATAATTACAATTAGAAATAGTTGCTTCAAAGAGTAATTAATTCGTGATTAAAATGACCTCTTTCAAAGGGGTTATTAATTACAGATTACGTTTTGTAATGTGGATCTTCAACGAAATATGCATCTTGCATCAGAAATAATTTTTTTTCAAAAATCGTTTTTCGTCAATCAGAATTCTGCAATTTGAAAACATGAGCTTATAGACAAAATAGCCATAACAGACACGAAGTACATAAATTACAACGACTCTCGTATTCCATTTTTTTTTTCTTAAAAGGAATTTTTAGTTTTTCTCTACATACTAACCGAATTCGTTTCTTTATCTTGGAAATTTTTGCTAGGAGCATTCATACATTCAGGGCACAATTATAACAAATGTAACGTGGAATATACAATTGTAATGAGTGGTGATAGCTCCGGAATTTGAGGGCTAAGATGAACTAACTCATCTTGACTGGGCATGCTGATGCGCAAAATGTACATGGCCAGCTGACGTGTATTTAATATTCGTGAGGAAATCTGCCAAATGATTTCTAAGTTTCCTCTCTCTCTTTATATGGCCCAAGGATATGCAATGTATTGTTTTCTCGTCCACGCTAATATTGCGAACTAATTCCAGTTTAATCTAATCTACATTTTTATATTATAGGCCTACATAGAATGTTAAAGAGTCATTGTCAACCACAATGCATTTTTTTACATGTTACCTTCGGAAGTGACAAATAACAACAAGTGACGATTATAAACATTTCTTTGGTGCAATTTTAGTACAAAAAAATTAAAATGAACAGGTATAGGCTAACCATAGGATGGTAGTAATGTATTATGGATTGGAAAGCAAAACATCTATTACTGCGCATTTAAATGACCACCAAGCAGGTTTGGATGCACAATGCATTTTGGGTGACAATGACACTTTAATGTAGCTACGGTATATTTACACCAGGTACGTCTGTATGTGTTGGCAATTGGATTTTCCTTGGCCTTTGGTGCATTGTTCAGTAAAACATGGCGAGTGTACAAGATAGTCAACGCTCACCGTGCCATAAAGAATAAAGTAAGAAACTAATTAATATGAATTGTAATTTTCTTGTCGTTATTTTAATTGCGTCTCCGTTCTTATCCCGTGCTATATAAACGCTATCATAGGCCCGTTAAAAATAAAACGTAAT